GCGTGTGCGGCCCCGCCTGCCCCTGGGCCGCGCCCGCCCTCCCCCAGGGCCCCCCGGGCCCCCCCCGGCCCGCAGGTGTCCCCCAGCGCCCCCTCCTCCGCGCCCCTCACCGCCATGGCGTCGCCCCCGGCGCCCCCAGCCAAGAAGCGGAAGATGAACTTCTCGGAGCGGGAGGTGGAGATCATCGTGGAGGAGCTGGAGCGAGGCAAGCACCTCCTCATCAACCACTTCAACGCGGGCGTGCCCCTGGCCGCCAAGGCCGCCGCCTGGCACGACATCCTGCGCCGCGTCAACGCCGTCGCCACCTGCCACCGCGAGCTGCCCGAGGTCAAGAAGAAATGGTCCGACCTCAAGACCGAGGTGCGACGCAAAGTGGCCCAAGTGCGGGCCGCCATGGAAGGGGGAGGCGAGAGCCAGAACGGCAACGGCAACGGGCCGGAGAGCGAAGACCCGACAGGCGCCGCCACCGCCCCGGTGATCCTCACCCCCATGCAGCAACGCATCTGCAACCTGCTGGGAGAAGCCACCATCATCAGTTTGCCGAGCGGGGACTGCAGTGCCGGTGACGGGACCGAGATACCCATCACCGCGTCGGCCACCACGGTCACCCTGACCCAGAGTGAGTGCTGCGCCTGCTGAAGATGGAGGGGCGTACGGGGGACCCTGACAGCCGCCCCTGAGCGGGGAAAGCCCCAGCAAAAGGAAATCCCCGCGGCTCCGTAGTGAAAACGCCGTTCCCCGTACGTCCTCCTGTTGTAGGGGAGTGGCTGCAAGATACGCACGGACTGAAAGTCAGCCTCCATAGCCGGGTTCGGCCTTAGGAACAAGGGAAGCCGGTGTCCTTTGCACCACGCAGGTTGTTCAGTCCCCCTCTCTGGGAACAAAAGCAGGGGGAGAAACACCTCCAAGGCTGATTTCGCAGTCCGCCCCAAAGAGCCACTGTCCTTCTGACAAGTGCCATTCTGGGTCTTGTCTTTGCCCTCATGCCGCTTGGAACGATTGTTCCGAACTGGAGGTTGAGAAATGATTTTGTCTAGACAGATAAGGCATGCCCTATTCCTTTGGACTGTACAGCCTAGACGGAAGCTCGAATGAGGGTGGAGTAGACTTAAATAGGCCATTTTGTGCATTGCTGTTCGTTGTATGTTATCTCGCTGAACAGGCCGTATTCCTGTGATATTCAGTGAATAGTCCTGTAGATAAAAATCCCCGTATCGCAGCTACTTCTTACCCCCTTTCTGTCCTTTGTTCTCAGTTCCTGCGGAGACAACCTACCACAGTCTGGAGGACGGAGTTGTGGAGTACTGCACAACAGAAGCCCCCACCACAGTCACCGCCGAAGCACCCTTGGAGATGATGGCACACCAACACGAAGTGTCCACGAAACCCCAGGAGCTGAAAAGCCGAATTGCTCTGAACTCAGCCAAGCTCTTGCAGGAGCAGCGAGTGACCAACTTGCACGTGAAGGAGATTGCCCAGCACCTGGAGCAGCAGAATGACTTGCTGCAGATGATTCGTCGCTCTCAGGAGGTGCAGGCATGCGCCCAGGAGCGACAGGCACAAGCCATGGAAGGAACACAGGCGGCGCTGAGTGCCCTCATCCAGGTCCTCCGCCCCATGATTAAGGACTTCCGTCGATTTTTGCAGAGCAATACACCCAGTCCGTCGGTCACCGCTGACCCCAGCCAGACGGGGCAGCAAGATGGCATGATCCAGTGAAAGAAACAGTGATCGGACGTCATTCTTGGAAAAAACCTGCCTGTGCTGCCGGAGGACACAGGGAGCGAGGGGTGCTAGCTCTTGTCGATACGAAACGGCTCACCTCAGAGTCTTGCTGAGCCTGAACAGCTTTCTTTCTCTGCTAATCTTATGCTAATCTGCCTTTTCAGACTCATCATACAGAGCCATAGCAGGATGTGTAATAAACCAGGAACTTAACGTTGGTTGCTTTAGTTCCTCAGACAATAGATTTATTAAAAAAACAGTTATTTTTTTATTTCTATTTGGAAAAAAAACTCTCCTCAGTATGACACTTCTCTCTGTCTCTCTCTCAAGATCTATAGCCTTTAACTGACTTCTGATGTGGAGAGTCTTGTTGCGGTATCACAGCACTGCAGCTGCCAAGGTACAGTTACCATAAACTGTAGTGCACGGTAGTGAATGCATTTCTGTCTCTTGCTGAAGGTGTTTCCTGGAAACGTGGTACCAGCTGTGGTACAACCTTCTCTCTGCACCGAGAGTTATGGATACTGCCCTTGGAGCGTGACATCCAGCCTGTGCAGACCAGCGCCAAGCCTACCTGCAGTTTAAATCCCACCTGCATCCCCTGAGGATATAAATGGGATTAGAATAGTGCATTCGCCTCATGTTCTATCTGCGTGCGGTCATGAAATTTCACTATAAACTTGGCAGATGTGATGAAAATTTTATGTCTCGGTTACCAGATGCTGTGCTGGGATACGTATCGGAAGCAACGTATTGCCTGTCTCAGTATAGTTAATACACAGGGGCCTGGATGAGTTTCACTCCGGTGGGTGTAACGGGTGAAACTCCATCTCTGTCTCATCTGCATCGTTTGTCACCTCCATAATACCTTGATCCATCAAAGTGGAACTGGACTGCAGAGCTTCAGCCACGCACTAATTCTCAACATTTAGGAATTTATCAGCCACTGAGTGAATTTTGGAGCATTATTTGGTTCTGCTGGTGGCAGTGGTATTTGTTCTGTACTTGTCAGAAGCTGGAAGCGAGTACAGCCGTTCTTTGTTAGCCTGCTCTAGCTGGCTTCCAGTGGCATGCTGAGAAATGGGTCTGAGGTTCACCTCACTGTTTTCTTGCCGTTATGCAGGGTAAAACGTTTGCAGCCACTTTTCGCTTCTCTGAGGTGTTCAGGCCGTGGGGCTTGGTCCTCAATGAGAAAGCTTAATTTCACAGGATGGTGAACACGATTCTCACAGACTTGCAGTAATGTCATAAACTTTTAGATTAAAAGCTCCACTTGTACGTGCATGGAAACAAACATAAAAAAAAAAAAAAAGAAAAAGAAGGAAGCGTAACTCTTCGTCTCCCTGTACCTTGCAAAGTGTGTCACATTTAACAGGCTTGTTGCTTGCCAGATACTGCTTTTGAAATGGAACTTTTTCAGAGCTGGTATTTGCTTGCTGTGAAGTCTCCTTTCGGGCTGAGACGTGGTGAGCAACAACTGATGAGGGAGTGTGAATTTGCACAATCAAACTAAACCTTTACACAGCCTTTTGGGGGGGATGCTGCTGGAGGACCCCCGGTTAGCGCAGTAGGCGAAGAGGCTACCGCTGCCTGTCTCTGGCCTTTCCTCACCTCCTCTCGTCTGCAAGTCTGACGGGGGAGGACAGACAGCGCCGTGAGAAGGGTTTGGCCCCTGGAGGACTCCCGACCCTTTGGCACCGACATCTCTGTGCTGAGTCAGGGCGGCGTCGGCTGCGCCTTCCCGCCTTGTCCGGCATCTCGCCACATGAGTAACACTCGCCTGACTCTTCCTCTCAGACTTCGTGGAGTCAAATCAATTGCTCAATTGAAATTTATTTTTAAAGTAAAAACTATGTCATATGTGTTGGTTTACCTCATTTGTGTAATGATCTCTCCTTTACAAATATGAATTTTAATAAAAAATACATTTTTGGTAAACAATGTGTGTCAGTACATCGGCATGATCCAGGGCAAAAACGAGTTCACGACAAGTTTGCAACACGAAATCCTCGCTGAGAAAGGGCCAAAGCAAACTGTGAACAGCCACGTGTCACCGTCGCTTTTTCTCTTGTTCGTGAACTCTGTGGCCTTGTATTTACATAATTGTGGTCTCTTTTTTTTTTTTTTTTTTTTTTTTTAAAAAACATTTTTTTCCCCTTTCTTGGGGGCCCCTATTTTTTTTTTTGTCTTG